TCGCAGTCAGAGTTCTCAACAAAGTCAACCCGAACGATGGCTCCTTTAGTCATTCGACCGATTGTAGCCACGATCGATTCACGATTCATGGGTGAGCATGGCGATGAAGATCGACTTGAAAACAGAGAGCTAATGTTGAGACTCAGATCGGTTTTTGTCACATGGTTCACACTGGCTCTTGCAGATCGACACTGGTCATTTTACTGTACCGGTCGATTTCATCTGTCCATTTTCTATAACCTGTAAATATGACTCCGACGTGCTTGAACTTCTCCATCTACTCCACTGCCTTTCCATTAATCTGAAGAGAGCAACGGGCAGGAGAAAGAGAAAGCACTAGGCTTTACACTCGGCTCTGAACCTTTCTAAGGAGCACTGAAGATCAGTTTCAGAAGATGCTAGTAAAATAAGGTCGTCTGCAAACAGCAACCTTCTCGTCTTCACATCTCCTACACTGAGGAACTCATCGTCTGGGCAGCGCCTGACTATTCTATCCATGTACAACGCAAACAGGATAGGGGACAGGACGCAGCCTTGGCGGAGACCAGTGCGAACGTTTAAGGGTTTCGACTCCTCCTCTCTCCATTGTAGAAATATGTTCTCATCCATGGTAAGAGGATGTCCAGACCTGTCTGTCAGAACTCTTAGAGTTTTTCCTTTTCACCTCAGAGGCGGCTAATCACCGGCCAGAACGCAATGTTTGCGGTCTGGAAATTCGAATCCGCGTTCGGTTTGACTACTACTTTAGCTGTCGCCATACGCGCTTCTTCGTATTGCATTCGAGTTGAAGACTCTTTGCTTCCAATCCACCTCTCGCTCACAGCCAAACTGGCCTTTTTTGTCCACATGGAAGTTCGTTCCTGACCTCCAGCCGTCGCATCCGGCGGCAATCTGCCTGTGCAGTAAGTGGTCTTAAGGTAAACCTGATAAGCTTCAGCGAGATCTGTTTAAACCGTCGTGCGTTGTAATTTACAAGTTTATCGCCGGTGTCCATGGAAGATAGTGTTTCTCATTTGATTCTCAGGTTGTTCCTACTGCCAGGTCGTCGGATAATACTCTGTCGTTTTCATGGACTATGCCTACAACAAGGTAGTGATCAGCTGACAGCTCTGCACCTCTCTTAAAGCGAACATCCATGACAGACGCCATAAATCAGACGATACAATTATTAAATCAATAGCACCAGGTGCATTGAAGCACTTTCAATGCTCGAGGAAGATGTTCGTGAGAGACACTCTGTTGTTTGCACAAAACGGCAACAACTCCCTTCCGTTATTGTTCAGGTGGCTAAGGCGATTCTTTCCAATCACGTCTTTCCAATTTTCAGTCTCTGCTCTGACAATCGCAGTAAAATCGCCCATTAGAATGGCGGACTGTGTAGTTGGCACTTCGTACAGAGAAGACTCTGCTTCCTCAACGAAGAACTCATGTTCTCCCTGTACGTTGGTCACAAGGTCAGATAATTAGTTTGCTGTAAGTTCAGTCATGTAATTATATTTCCGCTGACAGGATTGAAGCAATAACTGCGTCAGTCAGATTGGGTTCCATCAGAAAGCGAACACCGGCCTGAGAGCGTGAGGTGGAGTCGAAACCTGAGTCCAATGGCCTCTACCCGTTCAGATTCAGAATTCTAGAGCCGTAGCGCTGCATTGATTAGTTTTGATATACATTTAGTACCTCGCAGCCAAATTAACTAGCACATGACCCCTCTCTCCCAGTGAAGCGATGTTCCAATTTCAGACTGCAAGCTCGCACTGTGGGTTTCATTCGCATGGAATTTTTTTTATCATACGTGCCATAATGGCATCACGCTGCCTGCGTCCTCTTTTCGAAACTAGTGCTGGCGGGTACCTTCGTATTCTTGTCGACCGTCGGCCGTCGTCGCCTGGTTGCTACGCTTCCAGTTGCCAAAAGACGTTAAGGAGGTTGTTATCGCCGACCGTTCGGAATCTGCCCAAGTTCCTCAACACCATGCGCATTTCTTCGTATCTCGAAAGAGCCGAGGTACCAGAGGTACCGTTCGATGACGACGGCAATATCACCAGAGGCAGGTGACTAAGTTTACCGTGGACCTCACCAGTTCCTCAACCCGAATCTTTTCTCATCTTGGCCAAGACCAGCAGCATCAATGGAGTTTAAAATCAGGGAGTGTTAAGTGACATCGTCCAGCAAATTACATTACGAGCTGTCGGTTTGAAGGACATGATGGGGGGCCCTGTGTAATTATTTGCTTCTGGCATCTGTCTGACCATCTGAAACTTCGTGCGATGAACGGTGAGGCTAATCTGTGGCACGGATCTGCGCACGAGTGGATGCCATTCACTGGTTTCAGGAGCACTGAGCAACGTTGGCCCTGGCAGCCTGGTTGCTTCGATGATTAAAGAGGCAATTCGGTGTATTTTGCCGACGTGAACGATCAGTAGAACTGCATGGCGAAGGGTGGCACGGTCTTTCTTCCGGGGGCCGGTGAGAGGCACTAGACCGAAATTCGCGATCAGCGGCTGCTTGGAGCTGGAAACGAACAGTCGAACCATGTCACTTGAAGAAATTAAAAAACAAGACGTATTTCGTGGATTGGCCACACGTAGGAAATCGGAGTAGTCGTTCGTCTCCGTCACGAGTTCAAAACCGATGGGTCGCGAAGGGTTTTCTGTAGGGTCACCGACTGAAACAGTAAACTAAAAAATATTTTCAATTTTAACCGGTTTTCCTTTTTAATCAGTGTCTTTATATTTTGAATATTATCAAATTTTTTGATATCGAATATAACCCATAAAAATTTTAATAGTTTTATATTTTGCTCCCATAAAATGGAGTCGTGACTCGGAATAGGTTGGAAACTGCTCTACGTAGTGCAGGCATTATTTTCGATTGTGTTGCTGATTGCGTTGCAGCACCTCATGCTGCTTCGTCCCACTATCGTCTAGACACAGTTAAGTGCATCTTCGCAACCTCATTCAACGAAGCGTACAACCGATCAGCAGATTTGCCAGCGACGCTGAGGCGGAAGTCGTCGTCTTAAAAAAAACGAGTTATGTTTCACTAAGTCATAATTAGTTCAGTCGACTCTCAGCTAATAACCAAGCAACCATACGGTAATCTGATTACGCAGAGTAATTCACAGGTAAGCTTGGAGATAATAAGTTCTGCTGACCACAGCTTCAGATCGCGATATATCCACAATTTTGTTTTTTACAGGGATTTTCACGCACCTCACTCTCTGAAGGAATTTCTGTTTGTTGTGTGCCGTCGGTCTGAGAATCACAACGTCCACCGGCTCTGGCTTCTGGCAGTAGTGCCATCGAATCGGTGAGTTCGTTGGAGGAAGCCTTTCGCTCCTGTTTTGTTGTCTGCCTTTCCAGTTTTCACTGGATATGTGGAAGGGGAGGTTCGAATAAAATAAAACAATTATTTAAATTTAAAACATTTATTTAAACATTTCATTTATCTTGAGGATTAAATGCGGACAGCATTATCAGTCCCTCCGTTTACCCGCCCAATTCTGAAACCCTCTAATGTGAAAAGAGGCTCGTTAACCCTCAATGTCAAATTACGTTGTTAGCAGCTCTTGTCGGAATTCAGGACATGCGATCGCTGTCGCATCAGCGGCTCATGAGCATGCACTTCACCGTACGTCGGGAATCGATGTCGCTCAGTCGGTAGAACGTCGTTAGCAGAACCGAGAGGATGGGTCATTCAATCTTAT